TGGTAGTGACGTCACCGGGGAGACAAGAGCGTCTGCTACATGATTTTGGTAATGGAAAAAAAAATGTAACACAAAGCAAATGATCTTTATATGTGGTAGATACACGGAAATACCGGGGTATATACTTTCCGATTAAGTATTTGTAAAGAAAATGTTTTTTTATGCACAGAATTCGTACGAATGCTGAAAATAATTGTACATAAATTCTTTTCGAAAGGAAAAGATAGAAAATGAAACGATATTTAAGTTAATTAAGGGAAATAAATATTGTAAACAAGGTATTTTTTCAATATTTTTCGAGTATTGTTTGCACTAAATAAAATCTTGTTGAACGAACACATGATGGCATAACTGCTAAGACCATGGTAAAAACATAATCAAAAAGTATTATTATTTATTTTCATTGTCATGCACTTTTTATACAAAGAACTTGACATTCATGAGAAATATATGAGGTGATTCAGTTTAAATCTAAATCTCTCAAAAAAAAATAAAAAAAATTGACTAAAATTCATATTTAAATACAAATCTCAATTTCTAATATCCGTCATATACTTTTAAATAGGATACTTATCTCATTCTTTTTAAGTGAAAAGTCACTTATGATTCACTTCAGATTTTAGCAGAAGTGCGTATATTTTCATAAATTAAAATACTTATAATCCTTACACTCCAAGATTCTAGAAACATTATCTGACGGTATTTGCTTAGTAAATAATCTTCGATATTGCACCTATTCTCTTCCATACATTAAAAATGGAACAATAAAATAATTCTTACACATATACGACAATATAATAAAATAAACTTGCCCTACATCTTCGTTTCGGCCCACAGCGGCCGAGCGGTAAAGTCGCTAACACTGGTGTTCGGTCCCCGAATCCCGCGAATGGGCTGCTCATGGGTGTTTTAGTGTTTCTCATGCGTACAGTGTATACGAGCCAGTCCCTGAGAAATCCTCACAAGGCAACACCTTAGGCAGATAGCCCTAGGTGCTTGCCATAATTAAATACACCACCCATCTTAATTTCAATCAGCCTGTACACAAATTAAATATTTATATAATGTATTTTATCAGGTTTCTTAAAATACTTTTTTATACTCGAAATATGTGTTCAATATTATATTTTTCTTCTCTTATAATTAAAAACAAGTTATAGGAATAAAATTAAAACCTATGCAGCAGTTAAATAAAACTGAACGAATATTTACTTACTCTTTCGCTTGATCTGGATATACACAGATTGTTCCTCGTTCAAGCCTGTGTAAGTTATATCTTAAATACATCACAATACCTGTTGATAAGTTAAATAACAACTGAAGGAAATATGTACTCACTCTTCGATGTTTGCTCATAGTGTGGTCGAGAAATTGTTCTTTCCTCACGGGAGGAATGTATCAGTTACTTAGTTCGCAAAGCTTAACCCAGACGCTGCTTCAATACATAGAATTACGTTTTGGATTAAAGAAAGTAACCAAAACATTGATAGTTGGATACGCGAATTTATTAATAATCATTCAGGTACTCAGTATTGGTAAAACATGACACTGAGTTTAATATCTCACTACGATGTAAGTCTCATACCAAAATGAAGATTATGATAAAAAATGTTTAAAATGAGAAAATTTTTCAATTTAAATGTAAAAGCAAAAATGAAAAATAAAAAATTACATTTATGTATGAAAATTATAATTCATTAAAAAATAGTTATTTTATCTGGTTGTAAAGAGGTTTCGCCAAAAACGTATTACGTGTATAATTCTGACACACGCTATAGCAAAATTTGCCACTTCCGCTAGGTATATAGCAAATTAACAACACAAATCAAACAAACTGTTGATGCAACGAAAGTAAACAAACGCCAAGAACTAACGCTGTCACCCACATGACGTCATGCGCATGTGGCATAACTTTCTCCCTGCACTGCGCATCGTTCTTGGGCCCCCCCTGCCAGTATACATATCGTTGGTTGCGATTGGTTTGGCGCCATTGCTGTCTTGAGTTACTGCAGTGTTTCAAAGTGCATTCTAGTCGTGTCTGTCCTAGTCGTAAAATCTAGTCTTTTTAGAAGCTAATTTCATTTCAAAACGGTAATTCAGCTCTTTCTTTATTAAATAGAATGTTACCATGTTAGAAAATGATGTAATTCGAGAATTGAAGGCAAATATTTACCATAAGCCTGTTTTTTAAATGTACTCCTCCCTTTCCATATTTTGCGAAATAAGTCATCATTGTTTTATTATGTGTGTGATATGTAAATGAAATTATAGATGTTGAAATTAATTTCCTTTTTTGATACCAAGTCAGTTTAGCAACGCTTAAAGTATGCGATGTTTAAATGTTGTTTGTGTTAACCCGTGTACCAATTCTTTGGCAATACATTTTTATATGCGCAGACACATTTTGTTAAGCTGAAACCTTATTTCTGTTATATGAAATTTTATATGAAGGAATGATTACTTGTATGTTACAAATATTTTAGTCCGTTACGTAGAGGGAATGTCATAGTTTCATTTTAATATATAAAGCCTTGGTATTTCCTTTCTTTAATTATAATACATTTTATGTGTAATAATTCTGTATTTTTTTGGGATAAACGTTACGTTTTTTGTTGTAAAAAACAGCGCACGTTCCTTCCTATTAGCGTCAGTTTATAAGTTCTTTCTATTTTTGATTAGATTTTATAGGAAAATTTGCAGATTTCTGGCTGGATTTGCAAATATTCATTTATATGAGGTATGCGATATCAAAATTCGTAGTTATTTTATTATTATTATTTTGAATGTTTAATGATTACGAATTGTGTAACTGTAACATCTTATTTGTAGTTTTATGAAATCAAAAAGTTTCCAGAAAGTAGTTTCTGTACTTACGTATTATCGCAACCAGGTTGGCGCGATTTGTAAGTTGAGTAAAAAGGTATGATAAAAAAAATGTACATTATTAATTACAGATAATTTTAATACAGTTTTTTATATTATTTGTTTAAATATAAAATAGCAATAACTCTTCCGGTCGAATTTGAAAAGTTGCAGATTATTTTTTCGCGGAAAAATTTTGCTGCTTTTAGCACTGATTGAAACTGTCTTCGCCATTAACGCTTGAGATTAGCGCCAATAAATCGATAAGGTACGAGTCAAGATGATGACGGGCTGTTCCCTCTGTTTTTCTTGCGCAATTTAATTGAGGTAACTCTTTACGCCCAAAAATAAATGAACGCACGCTGTCCGAAAGAATTCGGCTACTTCAACCAATTTCCGTTCTCACACCAAAGGTTGATTGCACTTTCGCCGTTACATTCCAGAAGATTTGTTTCCAAAAACAGTTCATTTATAGATTTTACAAGTCGTTCGTTTCGGTAATAATCATATCCCTGCACAATTCAACAGCATTTTTCACTCGCAGGCAATCTAAATACCTAGTAAATATTTCAGGCATTCAATTAACAGTAAAAAATAATTTCTTTACGAAAAACTACATATAACACGTAGGGTTGTCATAAGTAGGGTCGCCAAATTTGGCGAATTTTGGCCTGGTTGCGTTAATATGTAAGTACCGTAGTTTCTGTTGCCTGGACAAGGTAAACGATAATGCATGGTCGCAATACCATGAAATGTATTCTCAAATAAAATGCCTTAATATGCCGAATTCTGTTACCAAGCATACATTAATTTATGTACTTGCTTAATTAGTAATTTGAATATTTTGGGAACATAAACTGCTAATTAGTAAAATTTCAGTAATGTATTTCAAAATGTATCATTTACTGGATACTTTTTTAAAATTTAATTTTAAATAACTGTTTGTACATATGAACTTTTTTATGTAATTAATTATTTTTTTAACCAAGAAAAAGCAGCATTAACTTATGTATAATGTAGAATATTAATTTAATTCAGTTAAGAAAAATGGCTCAATAGTTTAACATGATAATAGTTTGTGTTATAAACAAATCTAGATAGAATACGAGAAGTAGATTTTTTTTTTTTTAAATTTTGAGGTATATTTAATAAGATTTTAGTTTTCAAGATTTTAAATTTCATATTCTACCTAATTATGTAATTAGATTGTTAGTTTTATTGGTACAACTCTAATATACGCCCTAATTTCACCCCAAAGTAGCGATTGTTTTCTCGCTGGTTTTTCCGCTCGTGTTATGCAACCCTGTTCCGTTCAAAATCTTTACTGGAGCTGTTCTGCCTTGTTCTGAGAAGATGGGAGGAAAGATAAAATGTAGTTGTTGAATTGAAGTTCGGCAAAGAATATGATGTGGCTATCCTGTGAGGGTAGGGGATTTGGAGTGGAAAGAGGTCTGGGAGATTATTTAATGCAGTGCATGATAGAATAGGGATTGTGATTTTATTTATTTGACAATAGTATCCATTTCGGAAGTGTGTCGGCGTCTGTAATCGATCGTGGTACGGGCAGCATGTTAAAGGCGATAAATTTTTTTTGCTATTCGAAAATGCTTAATTCATGGAAGTGCATTTATTTTATCCTTGTCTTTTTTGTAGAATGTTATTTCATGGTCTGTTATGTGTTTTTTTCACTTTGAAATTTATTAGTTATTTGTGTTGTGTCTAGACTGTACAATTCGTAGATGTTTTTTTTGATAGTTAAACAGAATGCTGTGTACTGGTATTATTTGAAATTTATGGTGTTATTTATTTATTAAGGGGGGGCGTAGATCGTAGATCCTTCATGCCTAAATGTGCACATTCAGAATTTTTTTAAGTTTTTAAAGATGCGTGTACATGTATTCTTTGAATTTATGGTTTTACCTTATTAAAGCGAGGTGCGTAGTTTGTAGATTCGTTTGTTGCCTACATTGTGCATCGTAGATTTTTTAGTTAAAACATTCGCGTGTACAGGGATTCTTGCAAAATTTTTGTTTAGAAACTTAGTTTTGCTATCTAAATTTTTTTTTGTTCGGATTTTTACTAATGTCTGTTCAAAGTAGTTTTTTGATGTGGACCGCGTTTTGGAGCATTTTAGGCTAAAAGTCAAAGGTGACAAAAAATTTAGATAGTAATATGGCAGCGTGAATTTGGCGACTTGAGGGCGCATATCAGAGTAGTTCCGTTTTATTTAAGGTGTTGAATCCTAATTTTAAGTAACATTCATATAATTATCAAGATTTTCAGTTGATTCTTTAATTAAAACACAAGTATATCATAATTTAGAGCTTTAAACAAATTTATCTGATCAGTATAGTCTCATATTTACTCAAGGTTATTTTTTTGCATATTTTATACTTTTATTCTGAAATTGAGAATAACAAGGTGTTTAGGGGCAAGTGCAGAATCGCCCACTGCTTTGTGCATTTTGAAGAATTGCACATATTCAGTATCCATGTACACATTGACCTATTTTCACTTAAAAACATCCCAGAATTGCACAAAAATCGCATTGCGCACTCTCTTGACTTTATCCATGTACACATCAACCTATTTTCACGTAAAAAGTCAAAGAAAATTGACAAAAATCCAATTCTTCTTACTATTGAAAAGCGCCAAACAAATAATTGGGCGATTCTGCACTTTACCCGTGTTTAGTTGTATTATATAAAATAATTAGGTAAAAGTATATTTTAGGGTACACCTTGGAAAAACTTGGTGATTTTTGGCGGTACATTGATACCGACTTTGTGCAATTCTTCGACTTGTTATGGCGCAAAAATCGCTGCTATACAAAGCCAAAATAGCAAAACAAAGAATTGGACAAACTTGGTATCCATGTACACATCGACCTATTTTCACTTAAAAGAAATTCCCAGTATTGTACAAAAATGGCATTGCATACTGTCTTGACTTTATCAATGTACACATCCACCTATTTTCACTTTAAAAAATATCAGAGAATTGCACAAACTAGGCTTTGCACACTCCCTTGACTTTGTTCATGTACACATCAAACTGTATTCACTTAAAAAAACAATGGAGCAGCCAATAAAAAAATATATATAATCTGAATAAATTCCATTTTAAATCAAACGATGAAATAACATAAAAAAGGAAATTCATCTTAGCACTACATGAAGGAAATATCCACATACCTTATTTACAAATTTACGTGTCTTCAGTCAAACAAAATTCCTTAACAGCATCCAAACACTTCCTAAAATTATCTGAACTAGAATCTGTATACTGTTGTGTGCAACATAAATTCACAAAAATAAGAGTAAAAAATATCTGATGTTTGGCCATACACATTTCCTTCCCCCAAACAGGACACTTAATAATGACTACTAAATAAACCTTCATTTACACACCAGTCAATTAATGATTTCATTCCAAATCCTACAGAAACTTGAAATTAATCTTACCACATTCAGCCAGTTTACGGAGTAAATCACAAAATAACAACATACTTATCCATCACATACAAGCCCTTACCCAAAATCCCACAGACAAAACAAACTTTTTCCACAATCCAAACTTTTTCCCATGATTCAAATTCACCGCAACTAATTACATCATAGTAGAGTTTCCATAGCATTCAACTACTCAGGCTGTCATAAATGAGGCAACAACTTGGCGATAAATGAAACAACAATTTCGTGATAATACAAGGGGTACCCTAAAGTCAACTCTAACCATTAATTACACTATTTAAAATCTAAATAAATTGCACATGTTCAAAAGACATAAATATCATTAATTATCCATGTGTAGCGGAGCTGTTTAGTTTAGAAATGCATCTACTGCATTGGTTACTGATATACCTGTAAAAAAAAATAAATGGGAAAAATATATTTAAGGATACCTCTTGGTGAAAATTGGTGATTTTTTTTGGTACCATCCCTTTTTAAGTGCAATGCCCTCCCATTCTTAAAAACGCGGCAAGCAGTTTGCGATTCTGCACTTTCTCCCAATTTTGCACCTAATCTTCGTCATGAGTAAGCAGTCGTTCCATAAATTTCTAGCATAAGTGTAATTGGCTAGCAGATGTGGAAAAAGGGAGTGTAAATAAAATAAAGAATATGTCTAGTCGTGAAGACAAAATGCGGCAAAAAAAAAATAGAGGGTTGTGTAGAGATTGGTCGCCAAAATTTTCGAAGTTACATAATCCAAAGATTAACCGAAAAAAT